ATTTTATTCTATTCAATATAGGAACTAGATATCTGAAACTTGCCCAGTTTTTTACCTTTTTATAGAAAGGTCAGTTTTTGTAATAAACATTTGAAATTTACGCATGCGAGCGATATTAGAGATTGTAATAAGCATAATAAATCGATGTTTAAATATGCCTGAGTTCACATTTCTTTAATTATACCTAATGACCGAACCGTTAATTATCATATAAGAACTATTTCCAGTTGTAATTAGTAATATAATTTATTATTAACGTCCGATAGACAATCGAATATGGCATTTTTCCAACTAGCTCTGAAAGCCAGAAAATTAGAAAAGGTCAGGCAAACATATGAGGATGAGAAGATTTTGTCAATCGACATCGCAAAAGGTGCAAAACCGCGGTACACATTGAAACAACGGTTTCGTCGCAGAAGACTATGGTTAGACTGGCATTTTCGAAACAGATCTGCAAAGAGACATAACAAAATCATATTTAGTGCCCTCGATCGCAGTCGTGTATCAGAATACACGTTTACACGTAAAACGTAAAATAACGAGTACTCGCCCTTCACGTGTAGTCAATAAATGTATGTATATGTAGAAGATATTGAAATATTACACATGGGTACTGCATACTCGCGGTTTTCTCTTTAAATTAATTAGACGCGTGTTTTTCATTTTACTTTTTAAATTAAATAGACGTTTCGTGTACACGTGAAATAGAGGGCTTTAACGAGGCTATCGTACTAATGTCTTAAAAAACGTGAACAGGTTTAAGAAGAAGTTGAAGCATATTCTTAGCAAAATTTTTGATGTCATCCCGAAAGACGCATGGATATATAAAAAGTACATTGCGATTCGTACCGAGGATACGTGGGAAAATTACGTAGCGAAGAGTTTCTTGGGATTTACTGGAGGCGTAATTTTGACGTACATCTTTTTCATATTTTTCGTGTTCCAATTACATTTTAAACTATCGTCCGCAACTTTTCTCTGTACTATAGTAGGAACTATCCTCACTCTGGGTCTTGCCTTTTCTCCCCGAGTTCGGTACGTTTTTCGCTAAATATCCTCGACCAAAGATTAATATCGTATCGTATTTTTGTTGCACATGATACCGCATTCCAGATGTATCGTGTTTCTGTTGTTGCCACAGTTTTTCTCGAAACGGGGCAGGCAAGCCTTAATGGCGTACGCTTTTATTTTAGCGTTAACCGGACCGATAAGGAATACTATACACAATACTGCCGTGCTGTCAGAATCATTGGCTTGTGCACAAGTACGCTTCCCTCACTAAATTCGTTAATTCTAATCACGGAACGTAGAGCTCACTCAAACTATTTGAGTTAGTTAAACTACACTATAATTTAATCTTCTTAAAGTTTTTGATTCGATTTAAATAACTATTGACTCGTATAACTCATTTCATCA